TTGATTAATTTCTGTAGGCTAGAAAACAAATTGACAAAATGCAGTACTAATATTTTGTCAATTTTAGTATTCCAGTCTGGCTACTAATTTCAGTCAAAATGAGGCACATATACAAGGCAGAATTTGACACATCGTAAAAAAATAACTTTTCAATAAACAAGCTACTCTCTGATTGGTTTGACAGTTAGGTCTAAAGGTAACCAATCAGGCACAACCTTTTAAGTAGCATTAAGCAACAAATTTTGAAAGATGGCAGCCCTAAGACAAGAGTTGGTAGTCTTAATTTTGTGCCCTTATTATGCATGTAGGCATGAACATCAATAATAAATAATTTGCAAGCGATAGGGGGTTCATGTCTGTTTTAGTTTATAAATTTTCCCAATATTTTAACCTTTAACTACTACTAATTGGGAGAATTCCTTCAGATATAAATATTTGAAGATAACCTTTATTTCCAAGAAAGTGCCTTGCTGAATGTCACCTAAAATGTGCTACATTAAACCAAGGGAATAGTAAGTTTTTATATTCAACCATACCTGTGATGTTGTTACTACACATACTACTTCGCCACGATGTGCACTCATAATACGACCAAAAGCATTGAGGACTTCGGTTATTTTCTTCAGTCTACCATTTTCTGCTAACAGTTCAAACAAATTGACAGTGACCTGCTGACAATTCTGTTTCTGCAACACACCAGTTAATGCTTCTAAAGGACAGACAGAAAAAACAAAGATGTCAAAGTTCAGAAATACAAAATAACTATAAAAATGCATCTTTACATAACGGATGTCGCACAAATTTTACTCCATATATTTGGCAACATCAGGCACTTTGATGTAACCACATCCATATACTTTATTTTTGCTTGGAATTAATTTTTGCTGAAGGAATAACTCTGTGAAAATAAAATCCAGCATTCTGTGAGTTGAGTCAGGCCACTTTGCAAGTTTTTCTGCGCATTACTGTCACTGGCAGAATGTAGAATCAAGATAGAAACTATTCATGTGGTCTTATTTTAGGTTTTACCGTTATGACAATAATTTGTTATCACCATTATTATTCTTCAAATCAGTGTTCTCCCCACATAGAACAAAGCATGGCGGTACCGCCACGCTTGGGCTCGGACCGCCATGCTTACAACTTCACCGCCATGCTAATCCAGCATTCTGTGAGTTGAGTCAGGCCACTTTGCAAGTTTTTCTGCGCGTTACTGTCACTGGCAGAATGTAGAATCAAGATAGAAACTATTCATGTGGTTTTATTTTAGGTTTTACCGTTATGACAATAATCTGTTATCACCATTATTATTCTTCAAATCAGTGTTCTCCCCACATAGAACAAAGCATGGCGGTACCGGCATGCTTGGCAACCCGGCCGCCACGCTTGGGCTCGGACCGCCATGCTTACAACTTCACCGCCATGCTAATAGGATGCAAAGTTTACATCCATTTGACCCGCTCACACGTAGCACTGCATAAATTATCACAGTCTACGCCACGGCGGTTTGAACTTGCCGGGACAAATTAAACAGTCCCATT